CGCGAACCTACTGCGCTGTGCCCCAGAACACGTTCGACCAGATGTTAGCGATCAAGGATGCGTTCTCCCGGAGAACCTCACGCAGGACAAGGGGACGCTCGGCAGCGCGAGGGCGACTGGAGTCACGCTGTTCCACGATGTCAGCTCACAGCAGCAAACGTTCGACGCGCCAGGCGACTCGGACATGGACCTCAGCGACGACGAGGGGCCAGGACACGAACCACCGCCAAAGCGACAGAGGGGAACGCCGTTTACTGGAGCAGCAGCTTCGGCAACAACGGAGATGGCATCACCGCCCTCCCCCAGTCCAGGCATACCCAGCACTGCAGAGGACGAGCAGATGGAAGTCTCTGGCACACTTCAACAAGAAGGACAGCCAAGCGAAGGACAACCAGATCAATAACCAATACCACCGACACCCCCACTTCAGACCATGGGATCACCAGCGCAGCCAACGACTTCACCAACCACGCAGGCACAGTCAACGCCACCTCCAAGTCAGCTGCTACCACCAATACCAGCACCAGTTATGTTGGGACCAGCGGCGGCAGCATCGTTGAGTGCACTAACCCCGGCTCCAACATCTGCTGCGGCGAGCTTGGAGTTAAAGGAGAGTCGCGGGCGATTGGATGCAGCAGAAGCTTCCAACTTTACCCGGCCTGGAGGGGCATATCGAGAACCGCCGTTATCAGCGCCAACGGCAGAGCTTCAGCCCGCGGGAGACGACGGCGCAGACGACGAGCTCGCGGCCACGCAGCTCATGCCAGAGGACAAGGACCTACCATTCGGATGGGAGTTTGGCGGCAACGAGCGAAGCTCACTTACATTTCACCCGGGATCAGCACCAGGCCCATGACGCCACGCGAGCGAGCAGCACTCATGGATGGCAAGCGGAAGGTGCTTGAGGAGTTGTTCGGACATGAAGTTTGGGAGTTTCATAAGCTTGCCGGAGACGAAGACCCCGGGCGCAACCTTAAGGCCGAGTGGGCACTGAAATGGACTAAGAACGATGACGGCACACCGAGGGCCAAGGCACGTCTAGTGCTACAAGGCTTTAACAACCCAGACGCACCCGGCGGCAAGGTACCGACGGCATTACCTACAGCATCTCGATTGGGACGTCAGTTGCCCATGTTACTGGCAGAAAACAGCGGATGGAGATTGTGGACAGCGGACGTGGCAACCGCATTCCTACAGGGACGGCCGCAATAACGAGTACTCTACGCCGAACTACCAGGAGGCGCAGCAGACCTCATGGGCATCGAGCCGGACATCCTTATGAAGCTGATCAGGCCTATGCACGGACAAGTGGACGCACCACGACGTTGGTGGCAACGAGCAGCTGATGACTTCAAGGCCAGCGGGCTCAAGCAGTACACCTGGGCCCGTGCCTCTTCGTTAGCACCGGCAAGGGCGGCAACTGCGACGGGTTTTTCCTACTTTGCGTAGACGACATGCTCGAAGGAGGAGATCGCAAGCCCGGCAGTCAAAAGCAAGCTCACGCTTCGGAAGTGGATGGAGGAGGACAAAATGGAGCATGTTGCATCGGATCTACACCAGACCACTCACTGGGACAACAGGCACCCCAACGGCACTGAGATCAACATCAAGATGCAGTCCTACGCCTCCAACCTCAAACCGATCACGATTGATCAGAGGGGCGGCAACAACGACCGACTACTCACACCAAAGGAAATGCGCCAACTTCGAGGACTATGTGGAGCGCTACAGTGGCCAAGTTCGAAAGCATGCCCACATGCGTCAGCGTCGGTCAGCACTCGCCAAGGGCAGCTTCCAACGGCGTCGGCGGCGACAGCAAGAGAGGCGCATGAGACGCTAAGGTTCTACAAGCAGAATGCGGACGTCGGTCTCAGATGGGGAAGATTGGCATGGTCTGCGACATCGTGCTCGTAGCGATGACGGGCGCAGCTTGGGGAGTACGACATGACGGATCTAGTCAAGGAGGATATGTGACTATGGCATGTCACTCGAAAGTATTTGACGGCGAGGATGCAGATTTCTGCGCGGTTGATGGGAAGTCTTCCAAGTTGGTGAGGCTAGCCAGGTCATCACTACATGCAGAACCCCAAGCAGCGGCAGCAGGCATGGACGCACTAGAATTTGCGAAGCGATTCTGGGCAGCCCTCATCCACGACAACGTGAACGTCAACATTGACGAGAGCACGCGCTACGCAGGAGAGCCAGCACTCGCGATCGATGCGAAGGCGCTCTACTACGCAGCCAAGAAGGAGAGCATCACCAGCTTTCAGGACAAGCGCACCGGCATCCAGGTATTGGCACTACGAGAACGGATTGATGCTACACAGACGCACTGAAAGTGGGTCTCATCCGCGCTGCAGTATGCGGATGGTCTCGCGAAGTTAGCGGCAAGGCAACTCTTCGCAGACAGACATCGAGCTGGGCGCCTTCAGCTACAGCATGAGCTTACCTATACGGCAGCCAAGAAGAAGGCCAAGGAGGAGCGACAGGAGATCGTCAATAAGAGTAAGATGTACACGTCATCAGCTACTAAGGCGAGATCATCACTCATGCAGCTGGCAGTCTTTGCGACGCGTTGTTGTAAGTCAGCGGCAACTTACACTCCAGAGTTCGACTACCACATAGAGTACAAGTACTACTATGACGAGATCGCGAAGTGTTCGTGGTTTTCTGGAGGCATCTGGGATGCACTAACGTTTACCATGGTTGGAATGGCAGTGGCAGTTCCAGCTGTCTACTACATATTGCGAGAGCTTATGAAGCATCGAGACGACTCCAGTGTGAAGTACCAGGCCGAGACCAGCAACGAGCATGAGACGACAGAGGAGACAGCGACGACCAGCATTGACAAGGAGACGACCATCCACCTCAAGAAACGAGCAGCAACCACAAGCAGGTGCGACGGCGGACGGTCGGCGCACAGAGTATGGTTACGCACCGGCTGCAGGGAGATCAGTGCCGATTCTGTCACAAAATGAATGGATTCAAGCGAGCAGGCGAAGTTTCAGTGGAGACGACTGAACCCAACCAGCGGCAGGACGGCTACGACCGGGCAGCAGACGACAGCCCCAATGGCTGCAGTGAGCGAGCCAACACCAGCGCAGCTTCAGATGATCTTTTGTGCGTTCTGTGTTGCCAGTTATGCATTTCATTTTCCCCTTCCAGATGCAGGCTTTGTATGTTAATGTTACGCAGTTGGCTTATGTAGTCTTCGGCAGCTTGTGCAGAATATGTTTAAGATGTCTAAATGTGGAGTTTGGGATGTCATATTGCATGTTGAAGGGAGGGCTCCTCTCTGTTCTATTAACAAAAAACTCGTTCGCGGGTGCGAGATGTACGCTGTGCATATTGTGTATTGCGCAGACCATGACTGTAGCATAGCGAGCGTACTGATACGTTTTGGCCCAAGCCCTCTTAGGGCCCTTAAGTCGAGCGCGCCAGCGGTGTGAAGAGATCATCAGATGTTCTTCTGGCATGCCATTTTTATTGTTGCCATCAAAGATTTCGGGGGCTTTGATAACTTCAGGAGGAGGAGGATGAGGATGAGGAGGAGGAGGAGGAGGACGAGGAGGATATGATGATGAGGAGGAGGAGGTGGATCAGGTCGATCAGATAATGGAGCAAGCTCCCTCGCGGTAAAGCGAACGATGCCACGCTACGGCGACGCCGCCAGCGGAGGGCCACGCGTAGGCCGATCATCGGCGCGCGCAGGAAACTCCACTGCGGCAACATCCCGCGGCAAAAGGACTGCCTGCACGCTAGCCGCACCACGGCCCTCGCCAGGCACAGGCAACATCCCGCTGCGAAATGCGAAACGAAGGATGCTACCCGAACCGCGGCCCGCATCAGACAGAGTGAGTGCCTGGACACGGCAGTCGTCCAGACCGTTACTCTCTCAGTTGCAGAAAAAGTGAGTACCTGTACACGACCAGCTTCCAGGCCGTTACGCTCACAATTGCAGAAAGAGTGAGATCACTGACGGCGGCACCAAGGGGTGCGCCCATGCGACGGCCGAGCCACGACCTGCACTGGCGCACGAAATGCCGCGAGCATGGGGCGCCTGCCAAGGCTGAACACACCCGCCGGCGCGATGGTCGAACACGACCCGCGCAAGCTCAGAACGAACGAAAAAAACGCCCGCCCGCGCAAGGCCATGGCCCCGCCGGCTGGGCAGCTGCCGCTGCATCGATCCGACGGCCGCCTCGACCTCCTGGACGAGGCCGAGGGAGGGCAGGGCCAGGTCACCCGCCGCCTGCCGGAGAGACTCCATGGACTCAGGGCGGCTGACCTGCGCCAGCGGCAAGCGGAACTCGGCGCCCTTGTCGCTGGCGGCTGTGCCCACGTCGCCGCAGTCGGCGAAGCGCACCTGCTTCCCCTGCTCATCCTCCGAAGCGTCCGTCGCGCCGCACTGGTGCTCTGTGCCGCCAGCCCCGTCGTCGAAGCCACGGTCGCAGCCGAGGACCTGCGCAGCCTTGAGTTTGCCTGTGCGCTCGCCCCACTTCCTGAGGAACGAGACCTTCGACCCAGGCTCCTGCTTCTCCAAGCTGCCGCCCGAGTCCATGCGACGAGCGAAGATGAGCGGCCCACCGTCAGCAGGGGCTATGAAGCCGAAGCCGTTCTTGGTGTGGTGCTGGGAGGGGTGGCCCACCTCCCCCGTCTGCGCTTCCCCTGCGCCCTCGCCGAAGAAGTCCACCGCCTCGTGATTGTCCTCGGGCTGACTGCTGAGCCCCTGCACGTAGGACAGCAGCGGCACCTGCCCGAGGCCCATCACGCCGTCGAGGTGCGGCGCGACCAGCGGTTCGACCTCGTCGCCAATGAGGAAGCTCTGCGGGCCACCGCGTCTGGGCCCATCGAGATCCTGTCCAGATCGCGGATCTCGAGTGCTCCTCCTCCTCCTCCTCCTCCTCCTCCTCCTCCTCCTCCTCCTCCTCCTCCTCCCTCCTCCCTCCTCCCTCCTCCCTCCTCCCTCCTCCCTCCTCCCTCCTCCCTCCTCCCTTGAGGAGCGCCAGCAGCAGGCCGTGCCCGTTCGAGAACTCCCACACCGTGCACTCCTCCGTGTGCTCGACCTCCACCTGCTGCGCGAGATGCGCCGCTTCCGGCTCCCGCCGGAAGCGACCCACCTGCAGCGCCTCGTCGTCGGCCCTCCTCGTGCCGGACGCCTCCTGCGACGTGCTTTTGGCACCACCTCCATCGTGCTGACCTGGTCCTCCAGCCAGCTGGGCACTCGCTTTTTTCCTGGAGAGGCGCGAGAGCGCGGAGGAGGGTGCAGGCCTGTCTGCAACCCGGCGCTGTGCAGGCCGAGGCAGCGGCGACGGGAGCGGGCGGCAACGGGGAGCACCCTGCCGCGGTCTGCCAGCACGAACGACTTCTTCGAGGCCGAGCACGGGTTGCGAACGACTTCTTCGAGGCCGAACTCAGAGACCCGAAGAACTGTCAGTTCTTGGTCTCGTTGTTGCTGTTGGCTCGTCAGACGAACCAACAGCACACACCCATGCCCATAAGGGGTCGGAGAGGGCCATGGGTGCGTGCTGTCGGGTGCGTGCTGCGTCCTGTCCGACAGCCCGCACCCATGCCCATAGCCAGTCCTCCTCCTCCCCACGAAGCCCCCCCTATGGGTATGGGTGGAGGAGGAGGAGGAGGAGGAGGAGGAGGAGGAGGAGGAGGAGGAGGAGGAGGAGGAGGAGGAGGAGGAGGAGAGGAGGAGGAGGAGGAGGAGGAGGAGGAGGAGGAGGAAGAGGAGGAGGAGAGGAGGAGGAGGAGGAGGAGTGCGCAGAGCCGGCCGGGCCCGGCGAGCTCGACCTCCGCCCGTGCTCCCGAGGTGCGCCGCAGCGGGGCTGCGTGCTCGCACCGCCCTTCGCGCCAGCCGCGGGGGGGGGGGGGGGGCCGGGGGCGCGCGCCGCGCCCCGTGGGACACCACCCTCCCGAGGGGGAGGCTAATCTAAAGGCTGCCGCCTCTGCCGCCGACCCCAAATAGTGTTGATGGGGAATACTGGTCGGAGGTGTATTCTCAGTTGCAGACCTCCTCAGTCCGTTTTCTCTTCGGCGGCGGGGAGGAGGAGCAGGTCTCGCGAATCGATCCTCCCGAGGGGGAGGCGGATTAGGGTCAGAGCCTCACCACCCACCAAACCACCCCAACCCAACCCGAAGGCTCAGACTTGCCCTCGATTTCCAGTGGGGGGGGGTCGGGGAACGTCGAACAAAAGCACGTGTGGAGCCCTTACCCCCCCCCACCCGAAATTCGGGTCTTCGGGTCTTCGGGTTGGGTTGGGGTGGTCTGGTAGGCTGTCAAGCCCCGAATCATCAGGGGTAACTCGGGTCAGGGATAACTCGGGTTCGTTTTTCGGGAATCCAAGCCCGAGTTACCCCGGACCCGAGTTACCCCGGATAACTCGGGCGTCCAGAGCCCCGAATCATCAGGGGTAACTCGGGTCAGGGCTAACTCGGGTTCCTCTTTCGGGAACCCAAACCCGACGCACGTGCCCTCAGGGCACGTGCGTCGCATCGATGGCACCTGTGCCGCGGGGTGCCCTCGCGGCGCCCCAGGAAAGCAGGCGGCTTGGCAGCCCGATCGTCACCGCGGCTCGACGGGGCCGTGGGAGGGACTCTTGCCCAGTGGCCGGCCAGCCACAGGAGGCGCGGGCCCGCCGTGCCACCCCCTGAGAGGCCCGACGGGGTTACTCGAAGGGCTCCCCCGACGTGGGGGGCGCGACTCGGTCCCTGCGTCGCGTCGTGGCCGACGAGCTGAAGCCAAAGAGCTCTCAAGCGGTGGATGCGCGATGTTTAAGATATTTTGCAATGCTGCCTGGCTCTGGCCGACGGGCAGAGTGCCCCTACCAGTTTCGAGCCTTGGCTCAAGCCACTTTTCCCAGGAACTAGAGTCAGGCAGTATTGCAAAAATCGCGCATCCACAGCTTGAGAGTGCTTTGGTTTCATCGTGCCGTCCATCGCGATGCGTTTCTTTTCCTGTTTCTCCTTCACAACGGTGCGGGCGATCCTCTTGAAGTGACCGGCTTCCCTGACTATCCAGCCCACTTCCTCCATCCTCCTGCTCTCGCTGGACGCGCTGCTGAAGCCCCAGCTGTGGTCTGACGTAGTAGCAGCCGCCATCGACGACCTCCACGTCGACCAAGAGCTCGGTGGTAGGGCCCCCATTGGAACCCTGTCGCAAAGCTCCGGATCTTCTGCCCCAGGGAGGCTGAGAGGAGCTCGCTCGCGACAGTGAACTTGAGCTTCGTGCACAGCGCGCCGCCCTCTGCCGCCATCCGCGCTCCGCCGTGCTGCGTCCCTTCGAAGCGCGCGCCGCGACGCCCGAGTCCCGTCTCGGGCCGAAAGGGCTAGGAGGAGGAGGAGGAGGGGGAGGGGGAGGAGGAGGAGGAGGAGGAGGAGGAGGGGGAGGAGGAGGAGGAGGAGGAGGAGGAGGAGGAGGAGGAGGAGGAGGAGGAGGAGGAGGAGGATAGGAGGAGGAGGAGGAGGAGTGAGAGGAAGGAGGAATGATGATGAGAAGGAGGAAGAAAGAGTAGGAGGAGTAGGATGAGCATGAGGAGGATGATAATGAGGATGAGGAGGAGAATGAGGACGAGAACGAGGACGATTATGATAACGATGGTGATGACGATGATGATGATGATTATGATGATGATGATGATGATGATGATGATGATGACGATGATGATGATGATGATGATGATGATGATGATGATGGTGATGGTGATGGTGATGGTGATGGTGATGGTGGTGATGCTGCTGACGATGATGATGACGATGGTGATGATGATGTCGATGATGATGATGATGATGCTGATGATGATGATGATGATGATGCTGATGCTGATGCTGATGCTGATGATGATACTGATACTGATGCCGATGATGATGATACTGATGCTGACGATGATGATGATGAGGAGGAGGAGGAGGAGGAGAAGGAGGAGGAGGAGGAAGGAAGGGGGAATGAGGAGGAGTGAGGAGTAGAATGGAAGATTCAAGGGAGGAGGGACGAGGTGAGAGGGAGGGAGGAAGGGAGGATAGAAGATGGAAAGAGGAGGGGAGGTATACAGGGAGGGAGGGAATGGATGGAGGAGGAGGGCTGGGCCAAGGAGCCGGAGCTCCGCGACGGCTTCCAGCGGGTGTCCAGGTCGCTGGCCGAGTTGGACGCCGTGCTGTAGGTGCACTGGCGGGCGGCCTCTGGTTTTGCCCAGCAGCGGCGGTGGTGGTGGTGGTGGTGGTCATGATGATGAGGATGAGGATGAGGATGCGAATGATAATGATGATGTTTCTGCTGCTGCTGCTGATGATGATGATGATCATCATCATGGCGATGCTGACGATGATGAAGATGATGATGAGGATGATGATGATGATGATGATGATGATGATGATGATGATGATGATGATGATCAGCATGGTGATGATGAATCGGGGCGGACGCTTCCCTCACTGCGAATTGGGGGCCAAGAGGTACAACAGGCGCTCCAGTCATATGGAGACGGAGGGGTTTGACAAAGAAGCTGATTATTTAGCGAATTGGGCAATGGACGCGGAGGACGATATCTGGTATTGTAGTGGCATCAAGTGTACGGCCGATTCGGATCTCAGACTGTTGGGGTGGAGCGATGGGGTTTATCGCAACCAACAAAATGTATTTGCATACGCTTAGAGTCTCAAGGACCAGCGCGCTGACTCCTCCATTGTGATCGTCGTGGCATGCGCCAAATATTATCCAGGGGAAGCCCGGAGCAGCTTAGAAGTCGAATGCTTAGCTATGCGTTCACCTTTGGATTATGTTCGCAACGTTGTTGCTGGTGGAGGGCCGGCAGGCATCCCCAAGATAGCCCACGCAACTCGCAAACGACGTAGATGTTTGGCAATCCGCCATTTTCTCATGTGGCTGATTCCTATCCTTGGGTATCACCGGCGAGACGTATGACCTCAAATCCCTTGCGAAGATTGAACGATGATGATGACAATGATGATGATGCTGCTGAGGTTGGTACTGCTGGTGATGATGATGGTGATAGTGATGGTGATGGCGATGGTGATGATGGTGACGATGATGATAATGCTGCTACTGATGATGATGCTGATGCTGGTGCTGAGGATGCTGCTGATGATAATGACGGTGGTGATGATGATGATGATGATGATGGTGATGATCATAATGACGATGAGGAGGAGGAGGAGGAGAGAGACTATGGTGATACTAATGATGATGCTGATGATGATGCTGATGATTATGATGATGATGATTTTGACGATGATGATGCGGATGAGAAGGACGACGATGATGATGCTGACGATCACACTAACGATGATGCTGCTGCCGATGGCGATGCTGACGATGACGACGAAATATGATGATACTGATGCTGATGATGATGCTGACGATAATGATGATGATCATGCTGATGCTTTTGCTGATGTTGATCATTACGATGGTGGTGATGGTGAGGTTGATTGTGATGTTGATGGTGATGCTGATGGTGGTGTTGATGGTGCTTGTGATGGTGGTGATGGTGACGGTGATGGTGATTCTGATGGTAACTGTGATGACGATAGTGATGATGTTGATTGTGATGGTGGTGGTGATGCTGATTATGCTGATAATGATCCTGCTGATAATGATGATGATACTGATGCTGATGCTGGTGGTGATGATGGCAATGATGATAATGCGGATGCTGATGATGATGATAATGATGATGCTGCTGCTGAAGCTGATGATTATGTGGACGTTGATGATGATGAAGAGGAGGAGGAGGAGAACGACTACGAGTAAGAGGAAGAGGAATAGGAGAGGAGGGATAAGGAGGGAGGGGGAGAAGGAGGCGGAGGAAGAGGAGGAGGAGGAAGAGGAGGAATAGGTCGAGCGGACGAGGAGGGAGGAAACACATGAGGAAGATGTTTCCGGAGGTCCTCTCATGTTGTTCCTCTTGCAGCTCCAGTGGCTGAGGATCGCAGATTCAAGGATTAGGCTACTGCGGGGACGACGGCGAGCAGGGGTGGAGGAGGAAGGGACTCATGGTGATGTTCTCTGAGGTTCTCGGACATTTTGTATCTAAAACGACTCCAGGGGAGGTGGTACATAGAGGAGAACTACGAGGGTCAGGGTGCCGAGGAGGATGAGAGGCGCCGCCGGGCCGGAAGGCCCGCCCTTCGAGCTGCAGTCTGCCCCCCCCCCCCCCCGGCTCGGAGGCCCGGACCTCGGAGCCAGGCCGGGGGAGCAAGGAGGACGAGGGGTGTGGAGAGGGGGGGGGAAAAAAAGAGCAAGGGGCAGTTTTCAGTTGCTTTTCACTTTTTGTGCCCCCCGTCAACCGCGAGTGATGGCATGATTCGCTCGCCGCAGCAGTGTCGCAGGCGGGGCGGCGCCCTCGGATCTCCCCACGCTTCCCTCTCCCCTCCTCCTCCCCTCCTGCTCCCCCTCGCTCGCCCTCCTCTTCCCTTCCTCGTCCCCGCCCTCGTTCTCCTCCTCGCCCTCTACCTCCGCCCCTTCCCCCGTTTTTTCCGACGTCCCTTGCCATTCTTCTTCCCCTTGCCATGCCTCGCCTTCTTTGGTCTCCTCCTCCCCCTCCTCCTCCGTAGCCATTTTGGCTCAAGCTGTCCTTCCTTGGGGGGCTGCAGGCCGCCAGGTCAGTAGGATACCGCTATTCCGCGGAAGGCAAGGTCCGTCCGGGCTTGGTGTTCTGTTAGCCTGCCACACAAGGGGCTCAGCAGGCGGCCGTCAGCTTTGTTCACGTGCATCTTTGCAGCATGACTCCTCCTGTCGGTTCTGGTCGTGGCGAGTGGTCCTACCGTCCATGGGTCCCGGCTGATCGGCCGCGTCGGTGGGGCGGCCGAGCCCCAACCAGCAAGGAACCTGACACCAACAGCTGGACGAAATGGGAGCCCTAGGCCAACACGGCGACAGATCCTTGGTTCACCGTCGCAAGCGGGAGAGGACACATTCAATGCCATCATTGCCAGTGCAAGAAGAATCCCGACAGAGCTTCGTTCTGGAAGCGTTGTGGTCAACAGCTGGGGACACAGTCGACGCAGTCTCAGGACTCCCCCGATGGCAAACTCCAGGGCACCAAAGCCACCAAGTTGGGGGCAATTCGACTGCAACAAGAAAGTAGGCAAGACGGGCAAGGACGACGTGGGAACTGGCAAAGGAGCCACCGCGGGCACCCCCTCTCCAGGTCCTCTACCAGGGCTGGCTCCTGAAAAGGCACAAGCGCTACAGAAACTTGCACAGAGAGTTGGTGACACCGAAGCAGCCAAACGCTACGCATCACTGTCTGCGGTGGCCATCGCTGAACCATCCTTGCACCAGCGGTTCACCACAGCCGAAGAGACGCAAGAGAAACTTGAGCGTCGCCTCGACCAGGAGTTCGAGAATCTCGAGACCTGGAGGACTGCGGTCACCGACCTCACGGATCCGATCAAGGAAACGCAGCGCGAATTCAAAACAACGGACCTGGAAGTTCTAGACATCCCGCGCGAACGCCAGCAGCAACATGTAACAGGAGGGAAGGGATGCAACGGCCACGTCAATACTACCGAACACCAGCCTGCGCAAGTTGGTCGAAAACAAGATTGCGCTGGCCAGTCTAATTTCTTGCGATGACTTGATTGCTCTGGGCCCTCAATGAGAGCCGCGGCATCAGCGCGGCGGACAGTGATAATCTTGAGAAGCGCAAGGAAGACGCCTTCTCGAACGTCTTGAAAGAGGCGGCAGCTGTCTCACCCGCCAGTGCCACGCAAGGCGCCGAGGCCGAATCGACTGAAGCGAAGCCCGCGGCTAAGTCTGACATTCGTGCTTGGGTCGCAGCTGATTCACATGAGGCGTTCCAGAAAGAGCTTCGCCTGTGAGGAAAATTGAGTTGCATCTGTTTCGCGGCGGAAGATCGGCGAAGGAAGCAAGACGAGGCCGCCCCCGCCGGTGGAAGCCGGCCGAAGGGCGGCGACGCGTGCAGCCGGCTGAAGCTTCAGAGCCCCCTTAGCATAGCATCATGGACATCTCTTGGCCTGCCTTGAGCCCCGCCTCGGCCCTCCTTTCTTGCGCGGCGCCCCCCTCGGCCACCTGCGAGCCTTTCACGGCGTCGCAGAGAGGGGCGGCGGCATCGACTGCGGCGGTGCCGGCGCCAAAGGGGGCGGCGACTGTTCATGCGCGGGATAGCGCGGGGCCCGCTGCGCAGGGCTAGGGGCCTCTCCCAATGACCCGCAGCATCTGCGCAGACATGCCCCACCGTTGCATCGGCGGCCGCGTCCGCCCGATCCCGGGAAGCCCCCGCGCGGGGGATGCCTGGCATCGAGCTGCGCCGGTCCCAGGAAGCCCTTTCAATGGGAACGCCTGGTGGCATCGGGCGCCCCCGATCCCGGGGGGCCCCAGATTGGGGGGCGCCTGGTGGCGTCGGCGGCGGCGACGTGGCGCGATTCGCCGTGGCTGGCAGTTCTAAGGCGCGGGGCCCACTGCGCACGGGGTTGGGGGCCTCTCGCGACCCCGCAGCTGCGTCGCAGATAAGCCCGCAGCGTCGACGGCGGCTGCCATCTCTGATGCGCGCGCAGTCGCGGAAACCATTGCGCGCGGGCGCGGGGGCCGCCCCCGCGAACCCGCGTAGACGCCAATGGCGAACCTGCTTTCTCCCTCGATGGCCCCGGCGCCGGGGACTGCCGGCGCGACGCCTGCCGGCGTGGCGCGGGGGGCCCTCCCAGAGGGGCCTGCCTTGCTCGAGCAGGGCCCCAGCTACGTCCGCGTCCGAGCGGAGGCAGCCGCGCCGGACCCTCCTGCGAAGACGGCGCATAGCGGGCTGGAGCTCAGTCGCCCAGGCAGATCGGCTGGAGAGAGGGGGGGCCGCGCCCTCCGCGCCCCCGTCATCCCCATTCGCTAGCGCGTGGAACGTCTACGTCTGCGCGGACGGGTCGGCCGCCGAGAGCTGCAGCTCTTTATCGCGACATTTCCCGACGCTCGCGATGGGCTGGGGTCTCGGGCTGCCCAGCGGGCCCGCGATTTTCGAAAAGGGCAGTTGCTTGGTCCGCGGGGCTGGGTGGCGTGGCGCGAGCCGCGCGTGCGACGCGACCTCGACAATCCGCGGCGCGCCGACGCCAGGCGCCGCGTTCTCCCCACCCTCCCTGGCGCCGCGCTCCAGGGGGTTGCGCGGGAGCGGTGCCGCGCAGCATGAGACGAACG